GCCATGTATGCGCCTGGCATAAATCAACAATAATAAATCTCAACTAGTATGTTTTATCGAAGGCCAACTCTTGGTAATGTATGTTAACAGTCAATAGAGTTACAATGTTTCAAGTATCAAAGGGCCAAGTGAAGAAAAAGCATTTAAAGTATATTTTAATGTGTTGTCCAAGCATGTTTGCACTATTTGTACAATGAATCATCCTATAATTCAGTATCCTAGTTAAATACCAAACCAATGCAAATATTTTGAAATTGTAGCCACAAAATATTATATTTACTGCTAAATAAATCAAAAATTGAAAGGCATTTCATGATTTTCCTGTTATATGAGCTTACTTAACCAAAGATATAATAAATCGGGTAGGCAATGCCTTATTTGTAAGATTCGGGTTATTTTGCAAATAGTAACTCCTCAAATACCAGTGGAACTTGTACATGCCGGAGAAAGCTCGAAAACCTATAAAAATGACGGTACTCCTGTAGTGTGTGTACCAGGTTAGGGTTAAGCCATAATTTTATTCCGATTTTCCTTATTTTAGTTTTTTTTACAAGATCGGTGACTGTCAGTGTTAGCCAAGTGAATATACCCTTGTCCATAGGTTTTAGTTTCCTCACACAACTTGATATAAAGAAGGCTTTCAAAATTAGTTACCTCCATATTGGCACACACACTTCAGAAGCGCCAAAATGACAGTTATTTCGTCCAACTTTATTTAAAAATACCTTTGAAGGCGGCTCTCGCTGGATTCGTCTTTATTACGAAATAACTCTAAAGCAAGGTAGCCAGCCTTTAAGTAACAATTGAAAAAATACTGTGTAAGCGGGGGTGTGCACCTTTTAATATAAGAGTGGCAGGTACAAATAACTGAAAGAAGCCGCGGGTCGCAAGTTTATATAACATGGACTTTCTAGAAGTTTCAAGCACAAAAAAGCCGCACAATTTTTCTTTGTGAGCCGCATTTGTTTTTTTTTTGTCGCAGGTGGCACACGCTTGGTTTACAATTGCAAATGAGCACTGGTACGGTATATGAACAAAAATTGGCTACTGTTATAAGGAAAATACCTTCAACTAAACGTATAGACAATGCCGACCCAAATCATTGATGCGCGACAAGTTCAATCAAGCGATTCATTGCCACTTATATATATTCAATGCAATAACTTACCATTATATAACAGTCCATATGGTCGCAGTAGAACCGAGGTAGCTTATATCACATTTTTTCCAAAGTAGACTATTTTGATCTTTCGTTATTATGGACCAGGTTAGATCGGGTTCAAATTTGATTCCATATAGTATCTATGTCAATTTCAGGTTCGACTGTTGAAGTAAACTATTAAAAATGCGTTATTTCCTCAAACCCTCAAAATGTTGCAAAATCGAACTTGGCCCCGCTGCGGCGATAAAGACTTCTTTCTATTGGTTGCTGTTCTCGGGCGTATCCGCAATTTCTCTTTGTGGGCCGCAATTGGCCCGCTGGTCGCATGTTGCATTCCCCCTGGTTTAAAGAGTTGCAAACGAGCACTGGTGCGCTATATTGATCAAAGATTGGCTACTGTTATATTGGGAGTACCTTCCCCTGAACTCGGCGACTAAAATCATTGATGCGTGACAAGTTCAATCAAGCGATTCATTGCCACTTATATATATTCAATGCAATAACTTACCATTATATAACAGTCCCATATGGTCGCAGTAGAACCGAGGTAGCTTATATCACATTTTTTCCAAAGTAGACTATTTTGATCTTCCGTCATTATGAACCAGGTTCGATCGGGTTCAAATTTGATTCCATATAGTATCTATGTCAATTTCAGGTTCGACTGTTGAAGTAAACTATTAAAAATGCGTTATTTCCTCAAACCCTCAAAATGTTGCAAAATCGAACTTGGCCCCGCTGCGGCGATAAAGACTTCTTTCTATTGGTTGCTGTTCTCGGGCGTATCCGCAAGTTTTCTTTGTGGGCCTCAATTGACCCGCGGGCTTCATGTTGCATACCCTTGGTTTAAAGAGTTACAAACGAGCGCTGGCTACCTTCCCCTGAACTCGTCGACTAAAATCATTGATGCGTGACAAGTTCAATCAAGCAATTCATTGTCATTTATATACATTCCATACAATTATTAATACTATTTAACAGTCAGTCCCATATGGTCGCCGTAAAACCGAAGTATCGTATATCATTTTTTCAAAGTGGACTATTTTGATTTTCCGTCAATATAGACTAATGGCCATCTTTTGGTATGGGTTTCAAGGATGTACTGGTTTTAGATTTTTCAGATAGGATCTATGTCCATTTCAGGCTTGACTGTTAGAACCAAACAATCAGAATTCCGATTCTCTCGGAACCTCAAACTGATGCAAAATCTAACTTGGCTCTGTTACAGCGATATAGGCTCCTTTCTATTGGTTGTTATTCTCGGAGGCGTACCGCCTTATCGCATAACTAATTGCTTTATTTGAGTTAGCAAAAGACACTGCCCGACCAGTTTGGTGATTCATATTCACTTATGCCTATCATAAACAATATCCCGCTAAAAATAGCTTGATTCTACAAATCGATGTTTATTTATACTCTGCTAAATGATGATCATTCAGACTGACACGGTAGAATAACTTTAAAAGTAGTTTAATTTTGGATAACACTTATTTATTTAGACGAAAGGTTACGGTAATAAATGTGTATCAGTGTGCAGAAACACTGTTGAATCAAATAGAACATTCATCTTTATTTCCGCTACTGCACCCTCGCATTATACGCACCTAACCTTAGCTCATAGTTTATTTTGAGAATTTTATCCGTTGTATCAACCACTCAGGATTGTATTTCAACTTTGTTCTGTTGTTTTATTTTGATGTTTTGGACCTTTGTAACCGCAATATTCCAATATTATGTTACAAATTAAATACTGGTGTTACCAGAATCAAGTAATGTTTACCGTTCTTCTATCGGGTCAATTTTGTACTTGTATAATCGTAATAAACCCAATATTTTTCTACAAATAAATGTTATTAACTACAGATTTTTACATCTCACATAACCGTGACGATATTATTATGCAAATGAAATATATATAAATATACATGTTATTGAATACATATCCTGAAGTTAATCCTGTTCACTGCCAACAACTCTAGATTGATGTTAAACTTTGCACTGGTATCTGCAGAATTAGGTTACGTTTACTGTTATTTTATTAGGACTTTGTAACGGTTATAAAATCGATATTATTTTACAAATGAACTGAATATACATGTTTTATAAAATACAAATTTTGAAATTTGTCGACCGCAAGTTATATTTACTGTGCTTTTGTTAGAGGCAATTTCATTTTTGTGGCGTAATAAACGCAATATTATTTTACAAGTGAAATGCAGGTATATGTTGAAAAGTACAGGTTTTGAAATCTGTTTATTGCTTTATTTGCCAATGTTATGTTTGCTATTCTTTTATTAGGACGATTTGTACTTTTGTAACCTTTCATTATTTTACAATGAAATACAAATGGATGCTATAAAATACCGATTTTGACAAGAATATTCCGGTATCGTCTATTCACTTTATTGGTTCTGCATATAATATATACCGACTAGCAACCGAGGGGAAGAACCCAAGTAATATTTTAAACAGATTTATTTATATGCTATTCCAAATACATTCTAAAATATATTCTTGAATATATATCGAAATTGTTTTTTGTAATAGAGAATTCTGCATATCATTGTAAATTATCAAAAGTCGTAAAAATTGTTTTTGAGAAAGCAGGATAAATAAAACAAAATTCACTCTGTGTGTCTGATGAAGTCTGACCAAGGAAGTGAAACATCAATCCTGACTTTGGGTGAAACCCATATTATGGTGACAGGATAACCCATGTGAAGAATTTCATCCACATCTGTCCATCCGTTTGGACGTTACAGCTGGACAAACAGACAGACTGACAAGCCGGTAGACGGTATGGATCTCCACCATTGCTTTGAGGCCGCGTCATTTCAGGTTCACTATCGGGCAATGGGGAGGCGCCATTGTACAAAACTAGCAGTTCATTTGGAGCGCTGTGCTTCTCGTCGATATCTATAAGCAAAAGTTATGCTTCGGGTAATAATTGAAAACATTTCCACTAAAATTCCGGCGCTCAAGAAGTATGTGTACCAATATGGAGGTAATTAATTTGTTCGCCTACTTCACATCAAGTTATGTAAAGGGACTGAAACCTATTGGCAGGGGGTATATTTACTTGGCTAACACAAATAGTCTCCGAACTCGTAATAGAACAAAAATAGGGGAAATCGGAATAAAAAATGACTTATAACCCTAACCTGGTACACATACTACGGGTGTACGAAAAGTCCAAAGCTTTACTTTATGAACTAGGAAGGACGAAACACGATTTGTTCGAAAGAAGATTTTCTTTCACGGAGAGTTGCATTTTCGGAATTTTTATACTCGCATTGGTTAACGAGGAAATAGTAAAAATTTGTGAGAGAAGGGAATATTTTTACCAATCGGCGGATTGTTCCATTGTTGCCCTGGAAACAAAACTTTAATCCGGAATTTCTATAAAGCACACAGGGTTGCAGGATAACTCATGAAAATTTCATTCGGATTGATCTAAACAGACAGACATACAAAACGATTGAGAATAAGGATCTCCTAGATCGGAGACCCATTCTATTAAAAATAGATCAAAGCAAGGCTACATTCATCTATCTGCGATGAATTAAGTTTGCTATGAATACCATTTTACATACGCTCTAAACAATTTGGCAAAAAAGGCTTTGGGCTTTTCTCATTACATTCAACCATATTTACCAGTGGCTGGTCACAATAACGTTTTCTCGCAAAAAGCTTGTCTCTTTCAAACAGAATTATTGCCTCACTATCTTCAATTATCTCCTTCATTTTATTAAAATGAAAAAGCAATACACAAATATAACAAAGACACAAGGGTTAATTGGCCACATGGTGGCGAAAAGTTTTGGCCCGGAAAGAGCATAGAAGAAGTCACGGGAAAATGTAACTAAGACTAATTCCAATTTAATTATTCTGGAAATACACTACAATACTACTCAAAGTAAATCTATAACACATTAGTTGAAAGGAAAAGCTATTTATTACTGAAAAACAACAATGATTTCTAATCCCGTACGTCACTTCGTGTCCAAGTATTTAAAAAGGGTTACATCGATCGCGATTGAATCTACGGTGTGCGGCAGATCGTACAGAACTAACAGATGGAGAGCTCTCAGAAGGTCCTTGGACTTCTGGAGGCTGTTCGTCACCAGACGGATCAACATTAGAACCCCTTGACAATGCAGGGCGATTCCCGGAAATAGAAGCTATTGCGTGCGGGGCCTGTATACCAACACCACCGGACGCTGGTGCGTTTGCAAGACGATTCGCAGGAATAGGATCTCGTGCCTGTGATGGTTGTATACCCACACTACTGGATGCTGATGAACTGGAAGGACTGTTCCCTATTGGTGGTGGTCCAATTGCCAATGGCTCTGCTCGTGGTAACATCATGGCCATTTCGTTTCTGCCCGAACCTCCGACGATATCTAGATCGCTACATCCTGCGGGGAAAATTTGTAATAACTCATTACCAGGTGGTTGCAACGGAGGGCTATCAATTGCTAATGGTCCAGAAGAAGGTGGTCCTACAGCTAGTTGTCTTGGAGGAACAGCATCTGAAACAAACACAGGAAGGAAGATTAGTAATACCTCTGGATGGGATTGTTGAGTTCAAAACTCGTACGTGATGATGAACTGCGAAAAAATTGGTGGCACTTTTTATGGCCTATGAAGATTGACTGTAACATGACTATAGAGGTAATAGTGCATCATATGATAATATAATATTATTGGGATAAATAATTGGAAGTCAATCAAAAGTTTTCAACGATGCTACAAAGCTCACGGCAGTACGACACATAAATTACATTTGAATACGTAGCTTTACTTTATGAATATTAGATTCAGATTTTATTTTCGTCATGCAAAACCAATATACGATATGAAAAAATAAAAAAAGACATATAACAAATTACGAAGACGGATATCGGCTTGTTGCAATAGACGAGGGATCGCGAAAGACTCAAAGAGTCATCCAGTCAGCGACACCTTGTAGCTGCATTGAAGCAGCAAATATAGCAACCGAACAACTCAATATTAAATAGTCACTAAATTCGACACAATCATATATATAAAAGGGACAACAAAAAGAATGCCACAATGACCACGAAAATTTACCTAAACATTCACTTAATTAGACTCAATCACAAAAAGGAACAACAAAGTTTGAAAAATAAAATACAGGATGTCATAATAACTATGGAGTATTAGATATTTACCTAATTAAACTCGATCATACAGAGTAAGAACAAAATAAAATCGAAATAAACACCGAGATCGACTTACTACGCTGAAGGTTAGCGACCGTTTCCGTTAATACATCCAATCGTTCTTCTATGTTTTGTAATACTAAATGTAAAAGAAATCATTAACATTCTGATAAAGGAATTCGTGGTTCAGTTAAAAAAATTTGCCAAAAAAACGGTTGTAGAGAGTTGATGAAATAACTTAATTTAGTGTATGCAATTTTACGAAAATAGAATAGTTTGAAGTATCATTACTCCCGAAGTATGTGAACCAAGATGGTGGACCCCCACGTAGTATTTGCGCCAGATTAAGGTTGAGCCAATAATTCCAATTTTTCTTATTTTAGTTATATTACGAGTTAGGGGACTAGCCAAGTGACTCCCGTAGTATTTGTATCTGAAATTATGACCTAACCCTAACCTGGTACGGTACACATACTACGTTCCGGTGTCCACTATTTTGTTTCACATACTTTAGAAGTAACTTTTCTCATCACATTTGGGTGACCTATTTTCTAAAGTTCATCACAAAATGCTATTTGAAAGTGCTCCGTATTTCTTATAATAATGATAAAAAACGACAGTAAAATTAATCTGTCCATGGATTGTAACGTGCTTCAGAGGTGCATTAACCAAAGGGGATACTCCCGTAGTATGTGAGCCAATTTGGCGGACACCCGAACGTAGTATGTGTACTAGGCTATGGTTAGACCATAATTTCAGGTACAAATACTACGGGAGTCACTTGGCTAGTCCCCTAACTCGTAATATAACTAAAATAAGAAAAATTGGAATAAAATTATGGCTTAACCCTAACCTGGTTCACATAGTACGGGAGTACCCAAAGGGGCGCGAAATATTTTTGAGGGTATACTAGAACTGGATAGTTTTTTCACGCATATTATGCGAGATGATAATGCGGTTGGAAGTCGATCGAAAAATAGAATTATAGTTATGTATTCAATATTTCTTCATATACCTTGCATTATTTGTTGATTGTTCGGGTTTTCAGCAACAGCTTCGGCGCCTGAAACAATATACATGCAAGGGTCAAATATCCTGGTTATGTCCTAATTATATATTATGGACAATTATTTTTTATTGTCAGAATTTAGAACCAGTCCAATAATCTACATTCACCTACTTTGAACTGCGTTTTTAAAACAAATATCTCCAACATTTTATTGGATACTCTCGAAGTATTTGAACCAAGATTGCGGCCACCAGAACGTAGTATGTGTACCAGGTTAGGGTTAGGCGATCATTTTATTCCAATTTTTTTCTTATTTTAGTTGTATTACGAGTCCGAGGACTAGTCAAGTGACTCCCGTATTATTTATACTTGAAATTATGGCCTAACCCCAACCTGGCACACATATTATGTTATGGTGTCCGCCATGTTGGTTCACATACTTCGGGAGTACCTTTTATTGTAGGATTTCATTAAATGTTTAAATGTGTGTGTGAGCGCATTTCCATCGTTCACACATAAGGCGTGGAAAGGTGGAAAGCAAAATTGCAAAACGCCGTTGATTACCTTCGAGGAAACCTTCTGCTTCGACTTTTTTTTCAATTTGTTCATTTACTGTAAAAAAATACGAAAAAATATTTATTTATTAAAAATATACTTCAAATAGACTCTGGCTGGACAAAACTTGACTCCGGACTCCGGTGTCGCAAAAAAGTCGTTTCGGTTTGAGAAACAAATAGACTCTCCAACTCCACAAACTCAGGGTTAAAAAAAAAAAATTACTAGACTAAAGACTCCGGATTAACAAAATAATCGACTCCAACTCCACTGACTGCGGTTTGACAAGGATTGACTCCCTCTCTGGATTCAAGTTTGGAAAAAAACTAACAGTTTCAATTCGAGTTTTAAAAAAACTCAAAATCCCCCATTAAAACAGGCCGAGCACGACCCACTTGCGTTTAAAGAGAACCATAGCTACCTGTAACAGTTTCAGTCTGCTGAACTCCATCTTCAGTTTTTAGTTTTATCTTGGTTGTTTCTTTTCTGGGATCTTTATTATTTAATAATAAACGAAATTTAGAAATACTTATATTTTAATTGTACTAACTCCGGTTTGACAATAAATTGAATTAGACTCCAGACTGCGGATTGACAAAAATTGATTCAATCGATTCAATCTCTGGACTCTGGACGGTTTGACAAAAATTTGACCCCATCTATTGAATCCGGTTTGACAATAAATTTAACTAGACCACAGACTCCGGATTCACAAAAACTGACTCTATCTCTGGACTCCGGTTCGACAATAAATTGAATTAAATTTCAGACTCCGGTTTGACAATAAATTGACCCCATCTCTGGACTCCGGTTTGACAAAAACTAACAGTCGAGCAAGGTCCCACTTGCGTTTAAGAAAAAGAATCATAGCCACCTGTCACCGTTTCAGTTTGTTGAACTCCATCTTCAGTTGTTACTTTTATGTCACATGTCGGATGACCAAGTTCTTTATCATCTATTAATAAACGAAATTTTAGAATATTGACATTTCCTCAAACCTTCATTGCACTAACTCTGTTTGTAGACGAGTCAATTATGTCGGGACCTAGCGTTACGCCCATCTACTCTCCGGTACTTCCGTAGTACGTGTACCAGGTTAGGGTTAGGCCATAATTTCATTCCCATTTTACTTGTTTTAGTTCTATTACGAGTTCGGGGACTGTCTGTGTTAGCCAAGTGAATATACCCCCTGCCCACGGGTTTCAGTTCCTTTACACAACCTGATGATGCAAAATAGGCGAATAAAATTGGTTACCTCCATATTGGCACTCATACATCGGGAGCGCCTGCTCGCCAATCGTTTACCATTGTTTTCGAAGCGTGCGTATTTGTACATATGATACATACATTTCTTACTCACTCTTTCTTACTCATTTCTTGATTAACACAAAACAAAACAATATAACATGGTGTGCGATTTTTGCTGTGTTTTTTAAATGGAAATACATTTACCTTTGTCTTTAGTTGTTTGATCTTCAGCTTTTACCTCCAGCTTCTCACTCTTTTCGTCGTCGTTTTCCGTGTTTTCTTTCTCCATGGTAATATAGCTAATTACGATTAAATATAAAAAGAAGAATCTACTTGCTGTAGAAGAAACGCGATCCATTTAATAATTCAAGTATATACTATGTTAATATATGTGTTTGGGCGTGTAGCATGAAAACATTTGGTGCTTTTAACAAGTTAAGTCTTCTGCGCCAGACAATTTGACTAATTTTTAATTAGCTGACTGCACCCTACATGTTGTTTACTATGCTAATAAGAATGAACAAAGTCACACCATCCGACTAACTATTTATTTTTGGGACACCGCGACATTCAATATATTGCCTGAACGGGTGTTTCTTAACCTGGGTTCGATCGAACATCTTGGGTTCGATGAAGCTGCATCAGGAGTTCGACGAAGGTTCCCTGAAATAGTTGTATTGCCGTGAAACCTTCCCATTACCCAGCGTTCTGGTTATGTAGTATTAACTTTTGTTCGACCCCAAAATGAGATGTAAGTTTTAGTGGGCCTGTAAATGACCGTTACATTTCCAGATTCTGTTACATTACGTATCTTAGGTTGTTATAACGTAAGCTTTTCAGCCAAATATTTGCGTGGCAGGCTCCATATGGTCTACTAATGAAAATGTAACTCAAATCTACAGACACGTCAAAGTAAGGGTACATAAATATGAAAAATTTGAGAAGAATCTCTGGCAAAGAATATTCCAACCTATGGCTTTCAACCCGAATCATGGTCGCCTGAAATTATCCTTGGGTCGCTTGTTTTTTCAACGAAGATCTGAAAATTTTTAATTTTATTTTCTAGCACATTTCATCGTTTGATTAAAACCTATCGATCTCGATCGGTAAGTATGTGGATAGGTATTTGTCTGTTTGTCTGCACTTTCATATTTTAAGCAATATCTCACGAAAGCGAAGTTGATTCTGCTCCAATTTTGCATGTGCATTCATCATATCTCGGACCAAAAGCCTATTGATTTTGGATGAATTAGGTCGTATAACTAGCGAGTTATGGAATAATTAGTGATGGGACATGCGTTGTCGCTATTGAGTCAGAGCGAAGGATACACGCCGCTAGATCGATAAGTCGTCGGTGTCCGATCGCTGTCTCGTTTTATATTAGTTAGTAATTTGCTGCTCAGTAGCAATTAATTGTATATGTGCTAAGAGGAACACTGTAAAATCTTTGTCATCATCTATTTTGCTTTACTAAAAATATGATACGGCACAATCTCGCTGATGAAAAACAAGTGCAGTTCATTAACTTTGTAGTGATTACAGGTAAAATAATTGCCATGTTACAATTGAGACCATAAAAGTACTTCATGGCGTTTAGTATTCTAGCATATAATTAGGTCGTTAGATTTTACAAAATGTATTTTTTTTTGAATTGGGGTGGCTGTCTCAGGTACACCACAATGATCCTTTCTATAACCTTTCGCACAGTTAACTTCCCCTTTATATAGTTCTGATTGAGTTCTAACCGTTAAATGCGATGGGCTTCGACGGGGTCTTGCTGAATAGCATATAAGTTAGGCAAGCCCGCAAAGGTAAGAACCCCCGACCTAAACATACTTAAACGCATACACGGTTAACTTTGATTCGAAGCAAATTTATTATCACAGAACATTCCAGTAACCCTTAACCTCCCCCGCATAGAAGGGCAAAAACAATATTAATAAAAATGAATACAAATGAGAATTAAGTTGAAAAAATCAAAATTGAGCGCGTAATAAAATAGGTTATACGTCTATATAATAAAAAATTTCACGGCGGCCTATTTAACCAGGCCAGCCCCCCGTATATAATTCTGAAATATATCAAAATTGGAATCAACGGCAGTAACGTCCAACCCACCAAACAAAGTACACAACTAAATTTATTATCAACAATATGCGACGGTTCTTTACAAAGCTCGATAAATTAATTATAAGTCTATTATTTAAATACTCACACTGGTTTTACAATCAAGCTTTGATCAATACAAGCACCCTATAAACATACTTGAAAATCACAAGTTATAAGTCGTAAAAAAGCGGAAATAAGGCTCGAGACTGCTGAACTTTCATAAGGTAAATTCATTCTCAGTACAAATATGCTGTCGGCACTTTCCGGCTCACTGCTTTTACCGATTCAGTTCGCTGTGTCACGGACCTATATGTATATATATTTCCGGTTCAGGGGTTTGCATCGTTCTCTTGTAACAAAGGTGTCATATGATCACAGTATGATGACGGGTAATAGTTTTATATAGTTCCGTTTTACTACGAACAAAGAAGATTACATCAAAAAGCACCCCTTTGACAAGTTTGTCTTCCGTGTTTCCCCTAAAAAAATAGGGTTTTTATTCCAAATACATTTAAAAAAAATACACTAGAGATTTTTTTCCAGGGGGGGTCATACATTCACCAGGCTTGTCCATGGGAATCTTAAGGGAGACGTCCCACGGGGTGGGATAGGACAGCTAAGTTTTGTATTTCCCATGAGACACGAACTAACGTAGTATTTTCGGAGAACTGATGGTCAAACAATTCGGTATGGATTTCGTGTCCATATATTGAAGCATAGCTCTTTTGTTAATTATAAAAGATAGTCGGCATTACCAATGTACTTATGGAAAGGGACACATACAGTGGTGGGATTCAAATTTTTGTCAGCCGGTTCCATCACACAAATGTCAAATTTTTCAGCAGTTTCTGTTACAAAAAGTCATGCTTTTTTAGTAAAGCCAACCGGTTCGCCGATCTCATAAAATTCCGTTCTATAGAACCGGTGCGAACCAGCTGAATCCCTCTACCGGACACATATATAATCTTTCTTAATTTAAGTTACCTAAGTCAATAAATGTTGTCGTTTTACACGTTTCTTTGTACATGTAGTGTTATTTAGTAAACGCTAAATCCAAATATAGCAATTTTATTGAATTGTAGGACACCGAAATGTAGTATGTGTACCAGGTTAGGGTTAGGCCATAATTCTAGTTACATATAATACGGGTGTCAATTGCCTAGACCCCGAACTCGTAATAGAACTGAAATGAGGAAAATTAAAATAAAATTATGTTCTAATCCTAACCTGGTACACATACTACGTTCCGGTATCCGCCATCTTGGTTGACATACTTGGGGAAATACCGAATTGTCTTCCAATGGAAGACAACAAGGAGGGAGGGGAGGACATTACCATCAGTTTTTCAAATTCAGAATAGGTCCTATTTTCAGGCTAGGTCTTATTTTCAGGGTAGCACGGAAAGTAGACATCCGAAGCGTTGGCTGATCTATTTCATTTGCTCAACACACGGGTCACTATGAATAAGCCTGGTGCCAGCTACTCACTATTACAATGGTTCTCAAACATTTTAAGCCGCGTCCCCTATTTAAATTTTATGTCGCGTCCCTCCTGAAAATAACTAGCTGACAATTATCTACAAATACCAGATAGCGGGGGCAAAAGTAAAAAACAAATAATAAAAATATCAAGCCCAACAGTTCGCTGCAATCTCTAAACAATAGAGAATTGTAAATACCCAAAATAAGACGGGCAAGATCAAATCTAACAAATATTTTTACTTTGTCTCACCTCCATTTGGTTCAGTTTAAATCCTTCTATTTTTCAAAACTCGACCATGCACATTATATAACGGTGCTTTTTATAGACCGTGTGTCCAATCGAATGACCAGGTAGTGCTTCATTCTTCAATGCCCAAACTTAAAACCACTACTGGAATTGCTTTAAAAACAGTTGAACCTTATAGCCCGAAGCGCCTAATCCAGTGTTTCCCAACCTTTTTTGGACGCGGACTATTTTCTCACCGGCGAAAACCTATGCGGACTCAAGGTGCGTTTATTGCAACCGTACGCTGTGTGAAGAAGTAATACAACCAAACACAACAGAATATTAACGAATTTCAAAATCGGAAATTCGCCGCTATTACGCGTTCGTTAAAAGAGCCGACTTTTTAGTGTATTATTACCTTTTCTGTCACACAATATTCAATCCATGACAACGACGAAAATTTAAAATGTCTTTCTATTATAATTTAAGTGTGTTCATGGTACCTCGCGGTTGCGTCGACTTACGACAATATTACAAAGCATTACTTCTTTGAAATGCCCGATTATACTTAGTTTTGATACATATTTTTTGCGATCTTGCGAATTTGTTATCGCCGTTAGAAAAATCCTACTATCTGCTATAAATTTCCAGAAAGTACAATTTGATTTAGTACTTATTAAAAATATATTTAGAGTATATTAGTAAATCAAAAATACATATTCATCGCCTTGCTTTATTATTGGATACGTAGTGGACATAACGATCGTTTCAATATTATGTTGTTCTTGTTCTTATTGTTTGACACAGATAACACACCTAGCGGAAATATTCAAAAACCGCTTTTCTCTTCGTATACTGGACCAATTGCTTAGAAATTTTCAGTGGTTGAAGATAAAATTTTTCCCCAGAAAGCTATTACTTTTATTCATTTTAAATATTTCTGTTAGCTCTGTGATTTTTGTTATTTTTGTTTGCTATGACGTCATTAACGTTCTGCGGACATCGGACGCCATTTTGTGTCCTACTGTACTGCTTCGCTTGGTGTGAATATATTTGTAGACTGTGATCTGACGGTACGGTAAACCGTACTGTACTGCGAACAGACGTGTTCATATATTTGGGCGTAGCTCTCTTGTTAATTCAATTGTGATCATTTTAATCTGCGGTTGTGTTGACGAAATACAATCAATACTACTCAGAAAATATCATGACAATCCGTGGACATAAAAATGCGTGGTAAAGTGCCAGATTATATTTTGTTTTAATTCGTATTTTTGTTCAACAAATCTGAGCTGTTCGTACAACACTTACGGTGCTACAGTACTGTACGTACCAATGTGGAGGCAGTAAGGCAAAGAATCCACGGTAGCACCCGAAATTTTGCGATTTTGAATGTTTAAAAAAGCTATTTTAATCGGCCACGGACCATCATGAAACAAAATTTATGGTGTTCTTCGTTTTGTTTTTAGTATTGCCGCTTTTCAATTTAGAAAATTTGGGTTGCCGCCTACCAGAATTATTTTGTTCCACGTTGTTCAAACTCGCGAGAAGCACCACTTAGGTATCTATCGACGCGTGCGCCGACTCGTGCTTTCGTCGGAAATCCGCAAGTAAGTAGTGAAATCCAATCATTTGATTTAGCGACGCGCAAGTGACCTGTCGCGTCATCTGTTACCAAATTTTCGAATAGTAAATTGCTATGGTAATATTTGAATATATGCTCAGCTCTACTCAGTAACCAGTAACTATTGACTCGATTAATGTTATGTGAATAAACTCGCTTTTTATGTTTAATCTAAATTCTAACGTAAATCGTACCTTGGCTGATACTTAAGTTTCGCAAATACGTTAGCGGCCCACAGTGAATTTCTGGCTCATTGCGGACTCATTCAAACGCTCCGCGGACTCATTTGAGACCGCGGACTCGGGTTGGGAAACACTGGCCTAATCTGTAAAGCAAACCAATCTAAGCAATTTATTTACCATGCGCCTTATGGTCCGTGAATACGGTAACTTTCATAAAAAGTAGAACCAGGTTCAAAGTCCAAGATTTTATTGGCCTCCTCCATAAGCTAAAAAATAAATAGACTGTCCGGTATAAAAAAAAGTAATTTATTTCTGCATCATATGTAAAATACGAACTATACATACACAAGTTCAAAGAAAACTGCACTTCAGGGTGAAAGGAGACGCCGAACGAGAGGCGGCATCAAAAGCCACACGACGAAAGATAGAAAATATTTTGATCGTACTGATTTCTATGTACAATACGTTTACAATATATATACAAATTTTATGAAGCTTGAGGTGATGGGTCGAATGAATGATATTTAGTTATGGAATATACCGTTCCGGGTTCAAAATTTTAAGAACGTTTTTCCCATTGTACCGAACTGACTAAAAAAGGTTTATGCAAGATAATGAAATCATCTCACTGATCAGTAACCCGTGCAATTCCCCTGAATTACATCACTGAGAATATCAAATCTATGATGCAGCTAGTTTAAGTTTTACGAACTTCCTACGAACTTTTTCGTACTTGATGTAATACATTCTCTGAAACTTCCTTATTCGCGTTTTTACTATCACTGGAGGCGCCAGTGGACTATAACTTAACTCACTTGAAATGGTTTTGTACTACTTTCGAGTGTACATATAAAAAAAATTGGAACGATACAGACAAGATTAGCATGGCCCATGCGCAAGGATGACACGCGCAATCGTGAAGCATTCTTCTCTTTAAAAAAAAACAACCTAAAATGGTTTCGCCCATTAATTTCTTACTTGTGATTTCACAATACCTCCTTGCGATACGCAAAACCTAACGCTGCCCGTGGGTCTGCAGCGTGGTAATTTAGTTATCTTTTGGTTGTATGCCTATTCCGAATTGATGATGTCAGGAATTTAATGAAGTACAATTCAATACCCTGTTTAGTTTGCGAAGTGGAACTGCATTCTCAGGTATGTATTCGAAGTTAATGTTTTGATATTCAGCAGCGTTTTAGCTGCAGAGTCTACTCTAGATTATGTGTGTTTGTGAGAGCCGTTAGACCTAGTCTTGTATAGCGGTACAACTACAAATACTTATAGTGCGGGTGGCCTAACAATATTTGCATATGCCATTTCTATCCCCCGACTAAAAACAAACGTCATCCAAACTTTACGTCACTGCAACGCCATAGTGATCAGTCTATCATATTCAGATTTGCAATAGTTTTTTTTGTAACCTTTTGGAGAAGGAGCGATGATGACTAATAGAGCAACTATAGGATGACGACCGTGTGAGAACCGATACGTGTGAGAACTAGATGAAAAACACTGTACTAGATAATCATAATTGTATACACTGCGACTTATTCCACGTAACTTGGTACATAACAAAAAATGTTTTAAACGCCACGACTTAGTGAGTGTTCTAGGCCATGGCTACTACTCAACTGGCGGACCGCGGTCCGAATCCGGACCTTTCGAGTATTGGATTTGGACCGCACCTAATTATTTATTTTGGATCATTAGCCCCACTTTTTGAATTTCCTATTATAAAATGACTTTCATAGTTTTGAATATATACAAAAAGAACTATAACACCATAATAAACAAGTTTAATTTGCTACTAATCATTAGTCGTTCGAGAAAGTGCTCGTTTAAGGATGCCGAAATATAATTTCTGGAAAGACCGGACCCAAATAATTTTGAAGTTTTGTTTGCGGACCTGCAATAAAAATAGTTGAGTAGCCCTGTTCTAGGCTACCGCGTTTCCAGTAACAAAACTTCCAATTACGTTGCGTACGGAGATTGTTCCCATGCATACGTCTGCCAAAAGCGCATACAAGTTTATTAACCGTGGAGTAATAATATTGAATGCTCCTACAGACTGCTGAATATTGTTCGAAAACCCATTGCTGACACCCCGTCATATTACTAATGTGTCGCGATATACAGTTCAAAATGTCACGTTTACCAAATATCTCAGAACATTCAGTTCCCAGTTTCAGTATCCCAGTTATACCCTAGTGTGAATGCCAAATTTGGTGCCTGTATACAAACTATCAATCAATATCACCGGATATTCTAGGTTAATTTTCTGCAAAACAATTTTTTACCAATGAGACCGTGGAAATTTTTGTAGCATTTTTTATTTCTATGAATTCTTTAATGTTTTTAAATCTCTTTCTGCTGGCGGATTGTTCTTACAAACGAGATGCAATCTGGTAATACTATTTTTCAATAATCTAATGTTATAAAATTTTGTTAATGCCATTTTATGCATGACATCGGTTTAAAATATCTATTGAGGCAGTTGAAAGCCCATTTTATTGGCAAGTTAGTATACAAAGCTTTGTTTTTTATTTGCCTCAGCTCACCATAAAAATAGATGTAAAAATTGTCATGTCCAAAGTATTTATTTCTTGACAAAAACAAACTAAAAAACATTAGTCAGAAAAGTAGGCAGTAATAACATAGTGAGGCATGATATCAGGTCAGGTTGTCGCAGTTGTAGTCGCCGATTGGGATGTTAAAGCCGGAAATATTATTTTTTATTGCAAATAAGATGAAACAATATCCGACGAGGAGTATAAAACATACGGCAAAAATTTTGCTGATGGAAAAGCAAATGCCATTTCCTTCCGTAGGTCCAGCGCCTTTTTAATTTGGCCTTCATGAATTATTCTTCAAATACTCGTTTCATATTATAACAAAAAAGAACAATAATTCGTAAGTTCTTCTCAAATAATCGAGAAGCTGATTGAGGTCTTTAATTGTTGAAGGACTTATATTCACATAAGTCTATTCATTTTCCGTTTTTCCTTTTTCAAAATATTTTTGAACGAACTTTTTGGATCCAGTCAATATATTTTGTAACATCCGCATAAACTCCAGGCTTCACCGAGTCCGCGCATCCGTGGCCCCAACTTGTTATTCCCCACAATACGAACGGATTGTCTTCACCGAATGTTGGTCCCCCTCTTTCACAAACCAATGGCCCTCCGCTGTCACCTTGGCAAGTATCAATTCCAGGAGCCTGAAAATTAAGTGATAAATTTCAAATATTTAAATCATTATCCGTTGTTTGATTAAGTTATATTTTGTTTTGTCTGGACACGTTGTACTATGATCTATAGCAGTCATTTTCAAACGGGGGCGTAAACAGTTTTTTGAGGGGTCGTGAAGCTAATTAGAAATAAAAATATTTGTTAGATTCGATCTTGCCCGCTTTATTTTGGATATTTACATTCCTTTATTTTGGATATTCACGTTCCATCCACGCATTTCCAACGTGTTTTTAAAGAAACATACTTTTGCTTTATTATTTGTTATTTGTAGCTCATTGTTAGCTAGTTATTTTTGAAGTGGGGCGCGAGACTTTCTAAAAATTTATAAATTCTAAAAATTGGGGTGTCTTAAAAAGTTTGAGAACCACTGGTCTATGGAAAACTAACATAAACTTTATATTTCGCCGATGGAAATTGGGCTATTTTTAATTAACACTTTGATACTCTCCCGATTAAGCATTCTACGTCATATACGAATTTGAAGTAGGAAGTAAACAAAGATAAAGGACTTGTAGTTTAGTACACAAAACCTCAGTACCCTGTATTTTATTACACGCTGGTAAGATGGGGGGTTACCAAATATATTCAATATAAAACATCAAACACTCGGGGAAAGAAAGGGCGGTTCAATATACAAAATCCTAGTACTTTCAGTAATTTAAAATAGGTTATATTTCCTTATATCAAATTCACTAGCAACTGAACGACTTCAACGCATGTCGTGGTATGAATTTGATGGTTTGTTCGATAGTGGGATATGTATTCATCAAGGATCTAGGTAAATTGAGCATTGTACTGAGGTCATGTTGAAACTTTTTCTTCTGGGGATTCGAAAAAATATTTTTCGAATAATCCCAACCCTTCTACTTGATTTCAATCAATAGCTTTTATAAGACATTTTTGTTTGAAAAATATGCGTCAGACTGACACCTTAATACGTTGAAAGCTAACAAGCTATTTTAAAGACAAGATTGCTTCTGGTGCAACATTATCCATTAAATATTATAAAATCTCATTTTCAAGATGGTGGATCAGGAGTACGATCTCGATGTCTTTTATCTGCGACGCTACTATAGTCAGGCGTATCTCAATAATTACAAGAACAGCATTTTTATATTAGTTTTAATGTTCTCACCCCAGCACATATCATTCCTTCTGATATTTGTGATATATTCGAGATCGGATCTCTCCCGTATAATTCTTTGCATGTATTAAAGTCATGCAATCTAATCTTTCCGTATTGTAAGACGTGTGGATAGTCCCGGGGTCCTGAAAAAATAAAGATTGTTTTTTTTCCGTGAAGATTATTGTTCATGGTTAATCATCAAACTTTAACTGTTATTCTCTAGCGCAGTGGTTCTCGAACTTTTAAGCCGCGCCCCATTTTTATAATTTGTCTCGCGCTTCACCTCAAACATACCTAGCTAACAATAAGCTACAAATAACAGATGGTAAGTCGAAAGTAACATAACAGATAATAGAAATACCAGCAGTCACAGCAGCTTTCTGCAATTTCTGAACAATCCAGAAATGTAAATAAGGCGGGCGAGATCAAATCTAACAAATATTTTATATTTAATTAGATGCTCGCCCCCCTAAAAAAAATTGTTCACGACCCCATTATGGGGCGCGCTTCACCGTTCGAGAACCACTGCTTTAGCGCTATGTCTGATAAAATCAGATTTATCAAAGTTTCCTTAAATAGTGCTTGTATGAATAGTAGGACAAGACAAGCACATGGTTCACAATCGCTCTGTTGAACCAAAACAAAGATTTTACTTTAAATAGAAATTAAATTCACAATCCGCCTGTTAAATTTGTATTATTTATTGCCAGCGCCTCTTCCTCTATTTTTTTTTTATTCTATTTAGCATAGAGAGTACTTTAGTAACGTGTCGAACCTAAAGTTTACCGTCCTTTGCGGCCCATAGAGCGCATTTTAAATCTTCTTTTTCTCAAATATCGATCGGTGCTCTTTATAAGCTTGCGCGTCTAATGTATATGGACCAGGATGTGCTTTATTCCTTATTGTCTACACATAAAACCAGAACTAGTATTGTTTTATAAACACACCGCCATCTTGCGCCTTATAGCTTGTCGCGTCTTATGTGCGGATAAAACCCCAATTGATGTAATTTATTGGCAGTGCGCCTTATAACCCGATGCGGTGCGTCTTGTGGCCCGTAAAATGCGATACTATAAATATTCATTTGTTAGATACGTTATATCTAGATAAAGTATATGGAAGTTTCATCGTGATTTACTAAACTTTCATAGGTTACTATTTCGTGGATAGTGTATATAGCAGACATGGGAAAAGTACGGCCCGCGAGCCAAATCCAGCCCGTTGGGTGATTTAATGCTGCCACAACCAGACTGAAACCAAATTTTGATGTTTCATCTAAAAACAACTTGAGGAATTTGTTGAGATTGCGATTTGAATTTAGTTTGGCACGAGACTTTTTGTTTTCCACTTTTGCTTTTGCAACACAGAATATTTTTCATAAAAAATGTAACTTTTTACGTCACACTTATGTGGCCCGCCAGTCTAGGTGAGCAAAATGTTTGGCCGCTGGTCCAAAAACCGTGGCCACCCCTGGTATATACTCTAATTACGTTCAAAATACTTACGATCTGTCCAGTTTTTAGCTCCCCATCCCGTTATGTGACACTCAGTGTTTGTAGCAAAAACATCTTGACCTGGTTCAGGCAGACACACTGAATTTACATATTCCCTGAAAAAAGAAGTAAAAATTATTAAAGTTGTCGACTTCCACATAAATGTGGAGTTGGCGGGAATTTCCATTTACTCCGCATTCGACATCCGACTCCAGATTGATGGAATTTTTGACTCTGACTTCAGCTGCTAACTCCTGAGAAAATCATATTTCGAAAATAAAAAATATTGGCGTGTGCAATCCTTTTTTATAGACGGCTAGGTACGCTTGGTCAAACTATTTTTGTTTTTCAATAAAACTTTGACTCCGACTAACACAAAAAGTCGGAAAACTTGACTCCGGCACTTGTCTCAGGAGAGTTTGATTTCAATTGTAATGAATAATGCCAAACCCCAATTCTAGTGCCTACGTATATGTATAAACGCCCCGTGATAGATATCCCTATTTTCTTTGATGATAAACAGCCTTTCATTGATTGGGTTATTTTTTGTGAGCTCTTTTTGTGCGTCATCTTGGTGCACATATTTTGGGAGCACCCAATTTTTTACGAAAAATAAAATGGAAGAAATATTGAAAACGGTCTCCAGGAGACAATTCTACTAACATTTTAAATCAGTTGGTGTAAATTAGCGGTGTTCAACATTTTTGTCGGTGGTCCATATAATCACCCTCAGACACCTCGCTAGGCCACACAAAAAAATTAGATTTACCATGTACAAAACGAATTGAAAATTGCCCATCACCACTGGTGTAAATACATGAACGATCCAACGAGCCCCAAAACAACTAAATAGTTTTTTCCTCACCCATATCGAGCGCATCGGCCATGCTTTTCAACCAGTTTTATCAATGCTACGTCGTTCTTTGGCACGGGCCTGTCTTTGAAATCTGGATGCACGATCACGTGTTCTATATCAAATGTCTAAAAAAAAACAGTCACCATTAAGGTAACAGCTGCGGTCGACACTGATAAATTGTAACAAATTGCAATTGAAAAAAAAGAAGAAGTCTGATGTTTACTTTGTATCACTTGATTTTCGTTCAAATTCAAGCCACACATGGTCTAATGACCAAAACGAGATTCCTGCGAATTTGAAAACTTATGGCAAACCAAATGAATAGGTGTGAAAAGACTGAAAATAGGTGAAACACGTAATACCCACAATGAATGGTCATTCAGGATTGCGATTATCGCAAAATCTCAAGTTTAACGTCTCCCATTCAAATTTCCTTCCCGCCATTTTACACAGGCTTTTATAATCTGGGAAACCATTTCTAAAAAGAAAAGTTTCTTATCCTCTTAAAAATTATATAGCAGTGTCTGCTTGTATAGTACCCTGTTCAGAGTAAAAGAATTATATGACGTGTCAATGTGTACTAAGTTAATTAGTACTAATAAAGGGGATCGATGTGATTAAGAGACTTCGTATGGGAGTTACCTGTTGGTCTTCGTCCATTTTATACATTGAATTATCTCCGTTATGAAGATCACCGACTCGAATCACGAAATTCTTTTTATGCCGCCTGAAAATATCAAATATTAGAGCTTCCAAATATTTGCTTCGACTGGTTTTAATGTATATAACTAATGAATATAGAAAATCTTTTATGTCTGTCTTACTTGATTCGGTATTTTGCGAACAAAGTATTAGGTTACGAATGATAGAGTGAATAACTAGAACATAACGCAGAACCACGCAATTTTGATAGCAGCAGTTGGCATACTCATACCGTATTGTGTTCTTCTAACACTGCCGGGCCATGGAAAATATTTTCAAGGGAGCCACAAGCCTATTAAAAATTACTATTGTTATTGAAAAGTTTAGTTTCATTTGTGTCATTACAGTCAAATTTTTATCGTAGTAGCAATGAATGATGCTGCTATTTTTCATTCTAAATATTGAAGTGAAAGAATTTATATTTGCAAAAATAGTTGTTTTTCTTGTAGTTTTTCCCTTGCATGAGAAAGTTAGTGTGCCACCAAATTTTTATACAACGAAAGTGGGCCACAAAAAAAGTTTGAGAACCACTGTTTTAACACAAGCTTCAATTCAGCTTAAAACATGGTCTATACGGTGTTACAATGTGTTTAGCTCTCCCTCTATCATACTTAGAAAACGATTAAACGCTAACGCTATTATATTCCTATAAACGACCTGAATAGTTTTTCAAACCCTAGGTCATGATTCGCCAAACGATAAAGCCGCCTTACTGGTTTTCTCCAACCTCGCAATGATTTTAAAAACCCTATAAACGGTCAATTACTACATATAGATGAAATAAATTATACGCCATTCAGAAGGTAAATAAACACAAAAACTTACCCAACGTACAAAACACAATGAGCGGCTGTGACAACCCAACAGCTACTGACCAGACTTCCACCACACATATGAGCATACGGCGCCCACGGATAGACATGTTTTCTTCTTAAGGCAACCTGGATTTATTTTAATATGAAAAATTCGTTAATTTTGACTTTTTAGATAAACATTACTTGAATATGTTTTATAAAAGTTTGCAGCAGGAGTCTTATAAAACATGAGGTAAGCTTCAATCTTGTGTCCTTGCGATTCACACTTCCTCATACATTATCTCGGATAAAATGAAAAAAATAGATGAATCGCGATATCGCAACAAATAAATTTACTTGATTGAAATATTAGTTTTTTTAATTGGTAGAGAGAACTCTATTTTTGGATAAATATATACTTGCTCCTGAGCAAACTTAAAACCCTTCAAGTTGATAAAAAATTATTTATAAATTTCAGACCCTCGAAAATCGAATTCAAGATTCATATTTAATCAAAATGTAAGTCAAATTTGGACCATCCTGTTGCCGATTTCGGACTAACAGGAACCTTAATATTTGTTCTGACCAAATCATTTGAGAATTTACTCTATTTGTGAATCTCTAAATTGGGTTGACCTAAATTGCCATTTACACACAAATCCGGGGCAAATAAACACATCAAAAAATCGGCCTTTGATAATTTATTTTTCTATTTCCGTCCCAAGTCATCCACATCGTCAATTTTGGAAACTAAAATTTAAACTCTGATTTTATGGAGTTTCAAATGTTAACCCCGAATCGGGTTGTGGAATTTTACGCGTTTGCGCGATCCTGTGCAAACCGTTACTACTAAAATTGTTCTAATGAAATTTACATAAAATGCAACAAAAAATATGAATGTATAAATGTCAAAGTATATGCATATGTATAAGTGTCTGACTATAAATAGATTCTAGGTATGTGGAGATAAGAATCGAATTCAATCATGTTTTTAGAGCTATGAGTCGGCTTGATTTTTAAAATGATGAAAATTGTTGCTAGTGAATTTGTATATTTGTATAACATGGCATTACCTGCCACGGGTAAGCTCCGGGATCAGCATTTTGTCCGTTTGTTATTCTGGCCCATTTACTTCTGAATATATTGGCACCTCTTTGTCCACAATCAGGTTCGTTCACTGTAAAGTTAGAGATTTTCTGAGCATTTATTAATAATTCATGTTCTTGCTTAAACTCGATTAGTATTGTACATATATCTCGCTTTTTTTTGCTTAGAGTACAGTGCATCTTAATGTAATATGCGTTTAAAGATGCAACCACGGAAGGTTTATAAATGCCGATATATGTTGGTATCGTATGGAGTGTCTGTAGGCTACACAACTCCACGCCAAAATAGGTCCTATACAAGCAGCCACCGATACAGTTCTATCACAAATTAATGAATATTTACTCTTCTGTCAGCAGAGAGTCAAAATTGGCAATCAGTATGTATTGAATTTTTGTTTATTGAACTTGTGCTACAGAAGAGTGCTACAGAAATTTACAAGATGTTAAAATCGCTGTTGTAAAAAGCCGTTTTCTATTTATTAGATATTTGTAAGTGCTTTCTTATTTTTTTACTGCATTTCGATCATGTTCACGGATCAACCAATTCATAAACATGTTAATAGAAATTAGTAATAAGTTTTGCTCAACTCTCGTTTTTATGTATCAATGAATGCCCATGCCGACCATTTCAAACCGCGTTTATAAAGTTTGGATGACTAGTCCAGCCCCAAATTAAAACCCCTTTGTACTCTCAATTATGATAGCTCGTCCAGTCCTAAATTGTATTAGATATTTACTCATTAAGGGTTGTTTTCCCGTTTCAAGGGTAAAGAAAATATCACAACGAAGTAAATGATAACAAAACGATTTATTTTTGGGTAGGTATATTATTCAAATCGTAGCATAAGTTTTACTCACGAGGTATATTTGCTCCTCTTTTCAGCATAATATTATCATAGTTGCCAGAAGTCGCTCGTATCATGTTCACGTCACCGACTCGATTTCGGTTCACAAACTCGATCGGAACATCGTTATTGAATTGCACATCATATCCTGTGTATGTCACTGCAAAGAAAATTATTTTAGTAAAAAAATAGTTTTCATATTCCAGATGCAACCAAAATTACGAGGAAAGTCGCAACCGTAATTTAAAATAGGTAAAATCACAAATATTTATTATATGAAAAATTGAAAATGCGCTTATAAACAAAATAAAAAAAATCTCACAGTTAATCTAATTACAGGCTCTAATAGAAGTTTTGAATTGACAGAAATGCGATTATGCGCATGGATAAACTGAATATAAATTTCCACCTTTCTCTGTCATTCAGCAATATAATATCAGCAGCAGTTAATTATCTGCCTTGAATAAAATAGGGATACTCTCCGTTTTAATGGCTATTTTTCTTTATGGATATTGTTGCATGTTTCATCTAAAATTATTTGCAGAACACAATTCGGTCCCATTCGTTATTTTCCATTGGTTTCAGAGTCTTGGTTTCAATTACCTGTTATTGTTATGGTGTATGGCATCCGTCTCATCAGGCCTGATGTCAGTTTTGTTTTAATTAAAACATCTTTGTTTTCGGATTCAACATCTTTCTTTAGAAAAAGTATCTGTAAACATGAGAGCGGAAATGTATGCATATATATGTATAAATACAAATTTTAGCATGAAGTTCTTCATGTAATCATTTTTTATTTTTTAATTAAATTCTGGGGTAATGCAAGTGATTCCTATATTAAAGAAATATAAAAGAATTACCGTTTCTCTTTGAAACCTATTTTTACTTCATACCATCAAGCTTTAAAAGCCATTCATCGAGTGGTCAATGCGATTTTCAGCACGATAAAAATGAACAACAATTTAGTGATTTGATGCATATGCTCGCCTCTATCCAATAGTTCGTTGATTGGCGTTATAATTGTTTGATCATTCAAACGTACAATATCAGTGACACCCGTCACGACAAGTCGGTGAAAAATAAGTTAGCGTTAGAGGGCGCTGTTGGCACGTGAATGTACGTGTGACAAAACCGGTGGCTGTTAACTAATGACGTGAATATGAGAATAACACATAATTGAAAATATTTTGAGACAAAAGCTATTAAGACAAAGCTATTGTTGATGTATATTTGGCTATACAGTAAATTTGAAAATCGGCCATACGGAGCTTGGCTGGGCTATAGAAATATAAGCGTAATATTGTGACATCTATAGCTTGATTTTCTGAATTTGTAGTTGGTGTTGAACTTTGCCATAAATCCAGTTATGAGAATATAACACTGAGACATCGTTTACTTTGTTGATTTAACTATTTACGCAATGGTATGGTAGTAAAACCTCATTGAGAAGAGGTTTAACTTGCCACATCCTTGTGCGTAGTTCACTTATCTCACGCTTTCGAATGTCTTCGTTTTTATTGTATTTTTTTATCACATATGTTGGATACTTTCATTTGATTCTCTATATTTTATCGTCTATATTACTTTTTATCGTGGTATGTTTTTTTGGTATGCCGTTTAAGTTGCGGTTGGTCCGCCCAAGTATAAACAAATTATTCAAAAGTCAAACGTAGTTTAAGTCAATGAATAAAGTATCAGTACGGAAAGGAAAGTATACCGGGAATTTAAAGTGTGGCTCTTCTCTATATTTCTAATTTTGGCGGTGCTGCCATTATCAATAACCATGCATTAGAATAACCATTTTAAATATCAAAACTACAAAGTACAGCTAAATGATCAGGACAATTCTATCTAGCTTAGTATTTGGGGGGAAAATTTGACCGACCAGTCTTTCTCTCCTTCATTCACTTGCTGTAAGGGGGAATATGAAATCCCTACTTGGCTATACCGTCACATGGTATTCAATTTTTTTCTAATGAAGTTCACTCCTGATTGAATCAGGTAAAATTTTTTACACAATATTGAATCCTGTATTGGACATTTAAAAGGAATGATCGTGGTTTTCCGGTTGTCGTAGATACCATTTTGCAACCAACATCATATCCATCGTTAAAGCGCTAATGCGAACTTTAATTGCACATATATAGTTCACAATTACCTTATGTTTCCGTGTCAACAGCTTCAGCACCAATGGATTGCAGGATAGTGGAGCCTGTCCCAAGTCAGATCTAAGTCTGGGATTCGAATCACAAGTTCCTTTCTCGCTGTGGAGCCGTATAAGCCCAACAGACCGTGTTGAACCAGTGCCTTGTATCGTGATGACGTCACCCGGTCGAAGAGAAGGATTGAATGCGCGGGTTACAGAACGATGACCTGAATTTCAAATAAACGAAGTAATTTTAGTAATTCAAGGTTCGTAGATATGATACTTTGTTTGACAAAAATCTCGACACCTAAGTCAGCAAACAAAACGAGGCACGATGCCCTATCGATTGAAGCGTGTTACACACACATCTCTGGTTAAAATTCAATGCTCCAAGGTTTCATAAATTAGTTAGGCAATGCCAAACCTTGAATATTTCGAATAAAAGCAGTTTCTTACAAATATTAAGATATCTGTGGCTACTTGTATAGGGCCTTGTTTTGAGCGGTATGCGTGAAAAAGCGATAAAGAATTGACGTATATTTAGAAAAAGCGTGAAGGTAAAGACCTGACTCAGGATTATACTATATCCTCAGAAATAGCGTTTTGATGTATATTTAGCTGAATAATACATCATAAATGCAAAAAATACAGCCAAATTTTACAAAGTATGCTACACTATTACTTTTAGTATAGGTTACGCGAGACTAACTCCTAATCTTTCCTCAATGCTAGTGGAAGGATGGGTATGAAATAAGGATGCTGTAGCAGGAATAGACGTGACCACACTATGCAATTCAAGAGTCCTATTGCAAGTTAACACGAACGAATTTCTGTAACGTTTAGTCTAACCAAAATCAGACACCCTCCGACAAGTAGTATAAAACAATCATTATGTTTTAATTAGATCTCGAATCATTTAGAATACCGAATTAATATACCAATTAATGTAATGGGGACGAATTAGTTTTGGGGGCCTTTATTCTCGACGTCAACGTGATATGGCAATCTGTTAAGTATAGAAAGTTGCATTCAACTAAGACTCTGACCCAAGTTGACAACTTTTGACTTCGTCTCTGGATCACACTATTTAATCTTGAGTAATCTATTTTAATTATATAATCGGGAGCTGTATAGTTTACTGTAAAATAACATTACACTTTACGTTTAACGTAAATCTATTTTCTATTCAAACGTAAAATTAGGCTTACCTTGTGAAGAAACATAAGCAATGGTTCCGATAAGTAAGAATATGTATAATTTCCAACGTAATAGTGAAGCCATTATAGCCAGATAAGTTTATATATGTATTTAAATCTGACCTGAAAATAAATACTCTATACTATAAATTTTATGAAAATATATACCGGTATTTATTCTGTATATCAGGGGTTCCCAAACTGGGGTACATTTCGACTTTTCAAGCGGCCCATTAGATTAAGTATAAAAATATTGGGTACTTCCGTAGTGTGTGTACCAGGTTAGGGATATGCCATAATTTTATACCGATTTTCTTATTTCAGTTCTATTACGAGTTACAGGGATGTCTGTGTTAGCCAAGTTAATATACCCCTTTTCAGTCCCTTTATACAGGTTGATGTAAAGTAAGCGAAAAAAATTTGTTACCTCCATATTGGTACACACACTTCTGGAGCGCCGAAGATTGTGCTCTCAATTTCTGCGTACAATTTTTTATCACCTGGAGTTAATAATAGTACGACATTTCAGTTTAGCAACTTTTTAGTCAAATTTTCACCTTCAACTACAGTAATTACAGAGTCTACAGTCTCAGTTCATATATATGACTTTTTTTTGTCCAATCCAGGAACGTAAGGTAAATTTGGGGATACACGAGCGATTTAGGAACTGTCCAATGGATCCCTATTAACATCAAGTATGGGTGATCGTGCTATATATGTATTTAATTGTCTAATCATTTCGGGGGTTAAGATATATGTTTAATGAAGGGAGTCGTACCTGTTTAGTAATTATGTGAATTTAATATTTTTATTTACATATATATTTTATAAATAAAGTTTTGCTACGACGCAGCATGTTTCTTGCAGATAATCATATGTCGCTAAGTTAAAATTCCTAAAGTAGTCTACAAGTGTGTTACCAACGCTTAGCACGGTGGGCGAACTAAATTCAAAAATTGTTAACAGATGTTTGATGCTCTGTATAAAAATCTGCAGGAGCACAATTATGACGCTTGAACAAAATATGACTTTGTTTGTTTTAGCGACAAAAAATCCCGAATCTCGCCTATCTGGTCTTCATTAAAGACAGTGTAAATAATAAAAATATTCACGTAATTCTGAAGCATAGTGTTCTTAATAATTAATTCCAACTCAGACTTAAAATCATTTATTTTGTAATCATCACTCACGGCACAAGCATATATAAAACAGCCACAGTGAAAATAATAAAACTGCTACTGACATTCCCAGGCACCTAACCTTTTTTTGATAAACCTCAAATGTATATAATACAAATCAAATACTAACTCTTAAAGTTCATTCGCCAATTATACATTTCTCCTTCAAGCATTTAAACCTGTTATTAATGCTACCTTACCAAGACACCAATATGCTAATAAACAACTTGAGCTAAATTTAATTATGAATAAGTCATCTCCTAACTTACTTTATAGCGATAGTTAGTTCTTTCTGCAAGTCCGGTAATGCGATCTACAAAGTTCACGATACTCCCCTGAGGTTTACAATGTTCCCAATGTGCTGATGGTGTGTGTCCCCCTTTGCTTCCTGTGCGTCAGTGAGAAGGGAAGTAATAGGTGCAAATTGACTTATATTATTGTTTGCGGTTTCAAGGAAGGTATAGTGGTATCAAAATAAAATGAACTTTGAAAAAAACATATTGAAATGACTATTAATTCATCGATATAGAAAGTTTCGATTTCAGCCGGTTTGTTTGTTCATTCGATAAAAGATTGATACCATTTTCGTAGCTCCGTTGACGTCATTTGCTAACGGTTACTTCTTACTGAGCTCTTTTTTTACTTACATGTCAAAATATGAACAAACTATTAAAATACGGCAAGTTTCAATTTCATGGTTTCATGCTTGGTCGTAGCCGAGTAGTTCCCATAATTACTGGAGGGTTACGATTACGAGAGACATACAAGGAGCTTTCCAATCGTTGGAGAATGGTTTACCAAATAAAGTACTGGACGGTTAGGATCTTCTTAATAAATTATATTCACATATCTTAACCACGAATCTAGTTTTTTATAAATACCGCCTATGTGCCGTAAATATATAGTTAATCATTACTTAGAGTAAAGACTTTACTTTTCAGTTTTTTCAAATCATATATAAATTAGAGTATCAGACGAATTGGTACATAACAAACTTGGAAATGGGATTTACAAATAGCGTAAAGCAGACCACTTCAAGAATCTTAGTTCGGGTCAGGGTCTTCGTGAAAACATGATTCAAATCACACATTGTTTATTAATAAAAGTCATATAAATTTCAAAATGACGCCATCAAAATATATGCGACCATTCTAAAGTATATATGAATACCGGTGATCATTTTTCTGTACTGATGACACCATCAGCTGAAAAACGAGTATTCAGTAGGGAATAGATTTGTTGTCAAAATTGTACTTGGACATGCATGTGAAACACCTAATTTTCGTTTGAGAAGCTATGCGTGTCAGTATCTTTGCTTTATCCATAATTGATTTTACTGATTTAAAAGCAACTCCTAATATACATGCTCAAAGATTATGATCTCGTGCTCTAGTTTGCAATCGGTTTTTACAATAGCAGTTCAAATTTATTTTTGTGATACAACGCAGACTTTCTGAAATCTAAGATGCACCACAATCTGTATGAACCGATTTGTTTAAAATTTAGTTTCTGATTGTCTATTAACTTTGCGAGTATCATACCGCTATACTTGCTTGTTCTAAGAATTTTTTCAAATTATGTTCTGATTCAAACTTGTCCGAGAGGAATTTTAAACAACCACCTTTACAACGCGGCTTTGTAGGTTCGAATATCCGTGGCTGATCGGTACTCCCGCAGTATGTGAACCAAGATGACGGACACCGGAACGTAGTATGTGTACCAGGATAGGATTAGAGCATAATTTCAGGTACAAATATCACGGGAGTCACTTGGCTAGTCCCCGAACTTGTAATAAAACTAAAATTAGGAAAATTGGAATAAAATTATGGTCTAACCCCAACCCAGTACACATACTACGTTCCGGTGTCCGACATATTGGTTCACATATTTCGAGAGTAACGGCTTGTCAATATGTGAGAAAAGCTTACCACCATATAGGTCTATTCATTTCAACGATTATCCAGATTGCTATTTCATGCTGAATCGAACGCTGATAGTCGTTCTATCGGTATTTTTTCCCGACGGGGGTCGTCTAATATTTCACTTTTCCAAGCAAGGTGGATTGAAACTTGTGGTAATGTAGCCGATGTTGAGTCGCGAACATTTTATGATACATTGAAGTGCTTTGAACATATCTAATATTATTCCCGTAGTATGTGTACCGGTTTAGGGTTAGGCTATAATTTTATTACGATTTTTCTTATTTTAGTACTATTACGATTGTGGGACTGTCTGTGTTAGCCAAGTGAATATGCCCATAAGTTTCCGTCCCTTTAACAACTTGATGTAAAGTAGAAGAACAAAATTAGTTACTTCCATATTGGTGCACATACTGGTACGCGCCGTTGTATTTAATGCAAACAAACAGTCTAACACTAAAAAATTCAAGCGCAGTGAAATTCGACAAAGCAAATATTTGATTTTTAGCATGCTGTCGACAAGGGAATCGTGAAATGTTAAGTAAAATATCAATTAAGTGTGTTATGTCGACGGAGAGAGAATCCAGGTTTCGACCTGCTATATTTTCATTTATTCGAAAAATAGTCAATATATTGTTATAAATTACAAAAATCTCGTGTGTGTGTGTGTTGAAACGAAACTTAAAAATGTCGATATTCACAGAAGTTAAAGAAAAGATTCATTTTTAAAGAAATCTCATTGCCAAAAGCAAGACTTAAGTCCAAAATTTGATTTAAAAGAGTTTGATTGAATATAGATATTGTCTAAACCCTATGTATATTGTTTTTGTATTTACTGCTCTGTTCTGGAGATGGGTTCGATATAACAGAACCTAAAGTTCGTGTAAACGAATATGGAACTAATTTCAGACACGCCGACATATCCTAATATAATCAATGAGACTCTTAAAATAAAAATTGGACTTCAAGACTTAAGACTTAAGACCTAAGACTTCAAGATGTTCAAGTAAACACTGTTAGTTCTGCTAGTGAATTCAACATTCAATAAGTTTGTTAATTTTTTATTAGAGTTTACTGAAATGGGGCGTGTTCAAACTTAAAATAAAGATGGCTTATCTCCAACATATTGACGGTTTAAAGTCATTAAATATCAGAAAAACAGCTATATATGTTTTTTCCATGTGCCAATGGCAGTATGTTGAGAATGTCTCTTTTTGCATCAAACAAATTTCTAGTCTAGCATCCTCTAATACAGGGGTGTGCAACCTTTTTATTGTCGGGCCAAATACAAGTATCTGGATGAATCGTGAGCCACACTTTTATTTAATCTAGACTTTTAGGTAGTTGCACAAAAAAATTGTTTATATTTGCTAGTGATCTTACGGTATTATTAGGGATTCTTGAGGAAATAATGAGTTAAAACGCATAAACTTGTGAAGAAACTGCTATTTAAATTTATTGCCACACCGACTTTAAACTAATTCAGTGAGAAACACGCTTTTGTAATATATATCGTGTATTTTGCAACATAATTTTGCTAGCTTGTTTTGCTAATATGACCGATATAGACGCAAATGGATAAATACTCGTTTCGCGACATACCATTCAAAATTGTTGTTTCTACGTGGGTCCGAAGTTTGCACACTACTGCTCTAACATACAGAAAGCTTTAAGTCTCAAATAGGAATCAATGTAGTATACTCAATCCATTAAACCAGTGGTTCCCAATCTTTTCCGATACACATCGCTTCCTATTTTATTTTCAATTTCTAGACCAGGGGCGGGCAAGGTATTTGAACCAGAGGCCAACAATTTTACCCACCTAGTCTGGCAGGCCATGTAAGTGTGACGTAAAAAAAACATTTTATAAATAATATTGAAAGTGCTACAAAGTAAAAGTGGAAAACAATATGCCCCGTACGAAAACTCCAAATATACCGCAATCACAACAAATTCCATGAGCTATTTTTAGCTAAATCATCGAAATTTGGTTTCAGTTGTGACAGCATCAGTTGGGCCAGTTTA